GCCCCGCTGCGGGCGTGCTCCAAGGCTTTGCTCCCCGTCTCCCTGCAGACCAGGAAGAGGGAGAGCAAAGCCTTGGAGCAAGCCCGCAGTGGGACAGCCCGGGCGCGCTTGGGCTGTCCCGCTGCGGGCATGCTCCGCGGCTTTTCTCCCGGTCTCCCTGCAGACCAGGGTGACCGGGAGCAGCTTTTCTTGCCCCGGAGGACGGGGGCGGCGGGACTGCAGCGCATCTAGGCATCCCGCTGCTCCAGTCCTCCGGGGCGAGAAAAGCCCCGTTCGTAACTGCGGATCCGACATAAGTCGGATCCGCGTAATTCGGGGACTGCCTGTACTGAAGGAGAGGAAGGAGGGAAATTGTGGAGAGTCACCTCCTCCCTTGGATACATTGAATAGACGAGGAAGAGAAGTTGCCTAGGACGTTGCTAAGTCTGCAAAGAGCCCCCCAAAGCAATCCACTGCTTGTGCTTACCACCTGCCCTTATAAGTTATAGGAGGTTCAGGGGGTAGCCGAGTTAGTCTATTACAGAAAAAAACAACAAATGGTCTGGTAGCACTTTATAGATTAACAAAACATGTAGCTAGTATCATGAGCTTTTGTGGGCACAGCCCACTCTGGTCATCTGAAGAAGCGGGCTGTGCCCACAAAAGCTCATGATCCCATCTATATGTTTTGTTAATCTATAAAGCGCTATCAGACCATTTGTTGTTTTTTTCTTATAAGTTATAGGAGATCTGGGTTCAAATGACTGGAAGTACTTTGGCTTGGGACCATCTTTTTGTTCTGTGTCTAGCACCTGACACAAAGGGGTCCTGGTCCATGACTGGAGCTCATAGATGCTAAAATAACAATGATAATTAGCAACACCAGTCACTGAGCCAGGAGTTAGGGTCAGCCAGATCAGTAACTAAGGTGAGGAAGTGCCTTGTCCTTCTCCAGGTCAGTCCTTTTTAAAGATAGTAGGAAGCGGGTGGGAAGGCATAAGGGGCCACATGCCCCAAAAGCCATAGGCAGGAGGGACAAGGGGCTGGCCACAAGGTTAGTAGGGGGCTGGGGGCTGTCACCTGCAGCACAGATCCGACCGTCTTCCCCCACATTCACTGGCAATGGCAGCAGAATTGGAGCAACATGGCTCCCAACTTGTTCTGTTCCTCCAGCCGCGTTGTTTGGAGGAGGGATGGGACTGCCTCCTCACTCACCTGTGGGAAGCAGAGTGAGCTGGGGGAACTCTGCTTTCCCTGCCACTGCCTGTGAGTGCAGGGCAGGGGCAGCCCTTGCTGCTGGCATTGGTCCTGTGACTCTGTTAGTCTCCTGGGCCACCTTGGTTGGGGTGGTACAGGAACAGGGAGAGGGGGGTTATTCCAGCCCTTCCCAGGCTGGGGGGAGTCATGTGGCCAGTGGCCTCCTCCAGGTCTCCCCCCTCACCAGTCACTTCTGAAAGAATAGTGGACATTGTGCACTCCTAGGCTATGTCTACACTGCAGGCTTTTGCCCGCAGAGAGTATGCTAATGAAGTGCTCATTAGCATTTGTTACACTGTCACTTGCATATTCTCTACCAATGCTTTTTGGGCAAGAGGTTTTTGCGCAAAACCAAGCAGTGTAGATGCATCTGTTTTGCGCAAAAACTCCCTTTTGCCCAAGATCCTTATCCCTCAGAAAAGGGATCTTGCACAAAAGGTTTTTTTTGCACAAAACAGACCCGTCTA